GACTCTGGTTACTTTCTTCCCTGGCATCCACAAAAAGAGAAGTAGCCCCAGACTATGGAATGGGAGCAAAATCAGGTCAAAATGGACTAAGCAAACAGAATAAGTCAGATTTATGACAATAGCTTTCCTTCCAACCCTTATATTATTTTCTTATTTGACAACAAAGTGGCAAAGAGATAAAACAACAACAAAGAACAGGTGAAACAGGAATGCAAGGAGGATGGGAAGATGGCAACCTCTGAAAGGTAATACATTGTTTCAGCAGCTCTAGGACCTAAAGCTATTTGTGAAGAAAAACTAGAAAAGAAGTCCACTCAAGACAACTTTAGAAATTTCTGTTGAGTACAAAACAATATTTTAATGACCTAAAAAGTTACCACAGTTTTACAAAGCATCTCGTTCACTCCTCAGGAGTGATGTATGCCTCGGATAATTGGAATTCAGTAGTATAGTGAAGTGATGTTAGAATGTCACAGGAGGTGACAATATGAAGATTAGTCACTATAGCATCATGGGCGGAAGGCAGATCCTGACTCTAAGGGCTCATATAAGGGCTTCTACTGCAGAATCCTTGGTTCTTTCCTATGGCAGGTGGCCCTGTTCAGTTGTCAGCAGTTGCTCATTTGATGTTGTTCTTACCCAAAAGAAAATGAAATAATTTATTCTTGTACGAAATATCAGGAACCCTCAAACCCAGGGGCTGACTTAGGAACAGATACATCACTTGCCGCAAAGAATATCTGATATTAGAAATGTAATGGGCAGTCCCAGCTTCTCCTTCTGACGATTTGGAGGATAGTTTTGTCACCCAGGAAGTTGCTGTCCTACAGAGGGCAGCGCCAAACCTCCCCTACCTGTCAGCTCCTTTTCCCAGATACAGGGGCAATAATGCCCTTGAAGGTGTGGACCGCTTACCCTACTGGGTATTTCCCCTCTCGAAGCCACAGGATCAGGCCCCAGATTCTTATCACTGGTGTGTCGTTACCTCTTCTAAAGACATGAGAAAAGTGCCAATTTCAGAAGATATGCTTGGAGAATGTGGAATACAATATGGAAACAATTGCTTCACGCATCACTGACTCATTTCTTTTCCTCACAGTTATCACAGAGTTGTTGTCGGCTTAAATGAGTCAATACAAATAAGACTGTTACAAAAGTGCCTGGCACAGAGAGAGCACTTAATATATGACAGGGGGGTTAAAATACGGAATTTTTTTTGGAAAGCAGGCCCCTTGTAGTACAGGTAAGTGTTCTAAGGACCCATCAGCATCAATGTATCAGCTAGTGTTGTTGTGAGAGGCTGCCTTCGGCTTCAGGGAACATTTTTTGGAGATTCTTTCAACACATTTGCCCATTTCAATGATGAGTGGTTTACGAGCACACCTGCTCACACCACACTGAGTGTTCAGCGGTTTTTGATCAAAAATGACATGGTTCCTGTGCCCACCCTCCCTGTTCATTGAATCTCACGCCAAGCGACTTGTCTTTTGTTTCTTCTGATGAAAAAAGTCCCCAAAGGAAAATGTTTTGCCAAAATGGAAAAAGTTAAACAAAAAATGACAGAAGCACTAAAAGGCATCAAAATTGATGAGCTCAAAAACTGTTTTGAGCAGTGGAAAAAGCATCTTGATAGGTGCATTGCTTCAAACAGAAAGTACTTTGAAGGTGACTGAAGTTTAAACATGTAAAAATAAATACACAGTTCCAGGGTTTTGGGGGTCCCCTCTCGTATATTAGTTTTAAAAAATCTTAAAACCAATTTGGATATATATGCATATGTAAAGAGATATAAATAGAATCATACCTAAGGAACTAATGATTCTACTTTTAGAACTCTGTACTAAGAAAACACTCATAAATTCAGACAAAGACTTGTGTATAAAGATGATCATCGTAGACCTGTTTGTAATAGAAAAACAAAAGTTCTTGAAACAATCCAAATTTCCAACAATAGTGGAACCAGTAAATAAATTATGCCACTATTCACAAGCATGTTTTTGAAGAATTTTTGATGCTACGAGAAGTCATAATGACACGTGAAGGGGTATCTAAAACCATTTCTGTAATATGATCTCAATTATAGCCACTTGAAATAAATATCTATGGAATAAAATATCTTCAGAAGAAAAGACTGGAAAGAAATCTTCAAATGTTACTTGTGATTTTTTTTCAAAATAATAAAATTTTTTATTCCCTTCAGCATTCTCCAAATTGCATATATACAATGAGCATGCATTAATTGTACAAACAGAAAAATAAAGTATGAAACAAGAGTTGATTGCAATACTACAATTTGGAAAAACAAGAAAGAAGGAAGGGAGGAAGGAAGAGAAAAGATGAGGTCTTAGACCACTGGGCAGAGAAAGGAGATAATTCTGAGGCTGAGACCTCAGTATCTGTGATTTATTAGAAAGATAAGCGAGGTAGGGCATACAATCTGAGTTTTCCAGTTTGTAAAACGGCCGGATGAATGATGCTATTATAAGCCACCGTAGGAAATATAGGAAGAAAGGACGAAGAATGGGTTGGGAGAAAGGAGAATAAATTCAATTTGACCTTGCTGAGTCTGCAGTGCCCAAAGGGTACCCAGGTAGCAATGCCCAGTCAAGAGCTGGCAATATAAAGCCGGGCGTAGTGGCTCATGCCTATAATTCTAACTTTGGGAGGCCGAGGCAGGAGGAGGATTGCTCGAGGCCAGGAGTTCAAGACCAGCCTGGTCAACATAGCAAGACCTCATCTCTACAAAAAAAAATCAAAAAATTAGCCAGGCATGGTAGCACGCACCCGTAGTCCCAGCTACTCGGGAGACTGAGACAGAAGGATTGATCACCTGAGCCTAGGAGGTTGAGGTGTCATGAGCTATGATCATGCCACTGCACTCCAGCCTGGGGAACTGAGTGAGATCCCAACTCAAAAAGAAGAAAAAGGAGCGATCTCTCTGCAGGGCTAAAGCTTGGGAAGGAGACTGCAGTAAACGCCTAGGTGTGGGCCACAGCAGTGAATCCTTGAAGTCATGGGCTTGGCTGAGGGTACCCAAGTGTTTTGAGTATTGCAGGAAGGAGACAATCAGACTCTGCTCCCATGGAGGCTCAGACACTCCGGGTCTTGGGCTCTACTCCTTTCGCCCAAAATGTGGCCCGAAGTGGGCCTCCCTCATTCACAGGGACTGCCGCTGGATTATCCTGAAGAGTCTCTCAGAAACTCACCATGGCTTGCTTGAATGCTGTCTGGCATTATTGCTGCTGCTTTCATTGAGGATTGCACATAAAACTTGCTACTGCGTATTCTGTAGGGATGGTGTTCCAGACAAAAGCCCCCGCCCCACCCAGTGACTCTTTTTACAACAACCAGTGGGGAAACCATCTGAGGTTTCAAGACTAGGAAAGTGTGAGCACCTGGACACCATGAAACCTCTCACTGCTCCTGGTTCCCTCTTTGATGTGGCCAGTAGAAAGCTCAGAACAAAATCTGTGACCCATCTTCAGCCTCAGCCTTATCGCATAACATAGTATGCATTTTAGGGTATTCGTAGTAATATTTCTTTGTTGCTTTGCTGTCCTTATTTTCTTTGTCCTAATTTCTTCAACTATGAATTTTTGTCAACTACTTGAAGTCAAGCCATGCCATGCCCACACATTGATTCTGTTTGTTTCTACCTCCTGCAGTTGCACAAAATAATTATAGATCTTCTCCACAATAGCCTTTCAACCCTCATATCCTTTGCTAAATCTTATTTTTGTAGGCACCAGAACCCCGCTTTCTTGAGTAGTTTCTCATAGATATGAGTGCCTGGAGAATCTTTCTGAACTCAACTGATGCCTCGTCTTCTCTTGGTGTCTTCCCTAAAGCCCCTACTCAGGATACTCTGCACTGCTGCACTTCCAGCAACCACTTTCAATAGCTGATTTTCATGCCTGCATTTCCCACAGGGCAGAGGACTCCTGAAAGAAAAATGCCGTGCTCTATTTGCCTCCAGCTAGTACATAGGACATAATATGTGCTTCATAAGAGTTCATTACAGGACAGGAATGATTGTTCATGCCTGTAATCCTAGCATTTTGGGAGGCCAAGGCGAGAGGATTGCCTGAGCCTGGGAGCTTGGGACCAGCCTGGGCAACATGGCAAGACCTTGTCTCTACAAAAAAATTTTTAAATGAGCTAGTCATGGTGGTGTGCACCTGTAGTCCCAGCTACTCGGGAGGCTGAGGTGGAAGGATGGCCTGAGCCCAAAAGGGCAAGGCTGTAGTGAGCTGTCATTGTGCCACTGCTCTCCAGCTTGGGTGATGGAGTGAGACTCCGCTTCAAAAAATAAAAAATAAAAGTGTTTCTTTTTTTTTTTGAAAGCAGAATTTATTAAAAAGACAGAAAAGTTCCCACAGTGGGAGGGGACCCGAGGCGGTTGCCCAAAAATAAGTGTTTCTGAGGAAGTGAATGTATGAGCACATACCTATATACATAGTATATATAACTTCCTGGCTCATACACATGTTAAAGACAGCTGAGGTCCCTAGGAGGGGAGAAAAGGAAGCACCCAGTGCAGCTCAGGTGTCTGTGGGCCTTTCATCTGATCATTTCTTTCCGTGGTCTCTCCTGAACAGCCTTGAGGTCCCAGGCACCTGGTCTTATTCTCACAGCCAAGTCCAGAGTAAATATACAAAAGACAGGCTTGGCTCTCCGGGTGGGTAACTGGGGCAAGTTTTCACAGAAAGAAAGTATTTCACAGATGGAAAAAACAAGATGCTGAAAGCTCCAATCAGTACTTATTCTAACAATACACTCTCCCATAGGTGCTAATTATGTGCCAGCCATTGTTCTGAGCTCCTTATAGAACATCTCATTTAATTCTCTTTACAGCCCCATAAGATAGGTACTGTTCTCGTCTCCATTTTGTTTTCCCATGGTCCTTTCAGCACCTGAGGCAGCTATCCTGAAATAAAGAAAGGTGTAGCTATGCAGTCACTGAAGAAAAGAAAGTTGGTTCCATTATGTTCAATGTAAAAATGACCGACAATCTGAACGCTAGCCTTGGATCTGAGACCTGGATTCCACTGGATACCACATCACTCACTAAGCATTTATTGAGCACCTACCACCTGCACAGGGCTTCCCTCCATGCGTTCACAGCCTGCGACCGGAAGTACACACCTAAACAAGGGAGTGACCAGGCTGCACGACAAGCACCTGAGGCAGTCCGGGACAGAGCACAATGCTGACAGCAGGAGGGAGAACTTCTCTCTGGTTGGATGAGAGGCCTCCTGGAGGGTATGGATGGAGCAACAGAGACAGAGCAAGAAGGGAGGGTGCAAAGGGACAGAGGTGTGAATGGGCATGTGGGAAACTACTGGTAGTGGCAGAATGGAGAGAAGGAGGAGCTGAGGGATGAGGGATCATCATCCAGGTGGTGATCTTGGCTGCAATGCCAAGCAGCTTAACATCACCAACAAGTGTAGCCATTTCTATTCTAGAAAGACTCTTTGAGCAGCTATGCAAGAGGATGAAGAGACCAATTTGGAGGCTGCTGCAGTGAACCAAACAAAACACATGTGCCCGAGAACTAAGGCATGGGCTTCTAGGGATACTTAAGAACCCTGAAGCTTTGGACCGGTCAATAGGCTGGCACAGCCGTGCCAGGTGACACTCTGACTTCTGACTTGAACGACCAGGAGGGCAGCGCACCCAGTGAAGTGGGCAGCCTGGGCCGAGAGGAGGCTTGCCCGAATGAGGACAAGCTCGGCTGTCTATCAGCTTGGGAAATTCAGACGGGCAGCAGAAATGTTCTTCATTATCTCAGAAAAGTTATTCTGATTCTCGCTCACATCTTTTAATAAAATATGATGCATTTCATTCTGTCATCATAGTGAAAAATCATTGCCCTTTGCTGGGAATTAATAACCTTTTGAATTAATAACCTTTGGGTGGGAAAATTGGCTTAATTCATGCCTCCTCTTGCACTTTGTGGGTTCATCATCTCTCGGTCCTACCGTCCCCTGAAACCAAAAGCCCAAGACTTATTATTTGAGAAGCCTGAATGATTTCATGCTCAGAAAGGATAATCAGGGTCCTTAATAATCGGGTGGAATTGAGTTCACTGACCAAAAATGCCGATGTGCCCTGTGTTTGCCCCTCAGCCACAAGGGAGGCCACCCCCTACCGGAAGAGGGGATGACAGCTTCCTCCACCAGCACTTGCCTGATCCCTAATCTTGGCAGAAAAGATGTTACCTGTCTTGACATGCCACCCAATGGAAACATAGCACCTCCCAGGCTTCACCCGCCTCTGAGCAGCCATGTCTGTCTCTGGTCCAGCACCAGGGTCAGGACAGCTTCTGGGCTGCTCTGCAGAGCTGGGTGGCCACCCCCACCCTCAGTCCCAAGTGGCACATGGTCAGGGTGAGGCTCCCTTGAAGAGAGGCTATAGGCCCTCACAGTAAAACAAGGGAAGGTCAGATCTCTTTTTTTTGAGTTGGAGTTTACTCTGTCACTCAGGCTGGAGTCAGTGGCACACTCATGGCTACCACAGCCTCCACCTGCTGGGCTCAGGTGATCCTTCTGCCTCAGCCTTCCAAGTTGCTGGAACTACAGGCATGTGCTACCACACCAGCAAATTTTTTGATTTATTGTAGAGACAAGGTCTCACCAAGTTGCCCAGGCTGGTCTCGAACCCCTGGGCTCAGGCAATCCTCTTGCCTTGGTCTCCAAAAGTGCTGGGATTACAGGCTTGAGCCACTGCGCCCAGTTATGTCATATCTTTTTTTTTTAGTTGGAGTCTCACTCTGTCACCCAGGCTGGAGTGCAGTGGGACACTCACAGCCACCGCAGCTTCAATAAATCACAGAAATTAGCCAGGAGTGGTTGCACATGCCTGTAATTTCAGCTACTTGGAAGGCTCAGGTGATCCTTCCACCTCAGCCTTCCAAGTAGCTGGAACTACAGGCATGTGCAACCACTCCTGGCTAATTTTTGTGATTTATTGTAGAGACGAGGTCTCACCAAGTTGTCCGGGCTCATTTCGAATCACTGAGCTCAGGCAATCCTCTTGCCTTGGCCTCCCAAAGTGCTGGGATTACAGACTAAGCCACCACACCCAGCCTAGGTCAGATCTTTAGAACAATCTTTCTCTCCCTCTCTCACTCCACCCCTGTAGTCTTTGAAGAACTCTGAATCGATATCCATCTATTCCTTTCTGCTGACAACGCTTAACAGCAGCCTGTCATCTAGAGCAGCAAGCCCAGACTCCTCAGCATCCCAGCTGGCCTCCCCAGCCTCCTTACATCCACAGGGTTAAATGCCTCTGAACCTCCACTCGGGTTGTTCCTCAGGTCAGCAAGTCCTCCTCTGTCCCCCAGCGCGTGCACACACACACACACACACACACACACACACACACACAAGTCTCCGTCATCCTGCAAGGCCAGGGTCAGCACCACCTTCTCTGAAAACCCCTCGCTGAATGCCACTCCCTCCCTCGAGCGCAATCCATCACTCTCTCGAAGGTCCTCCTCATCGCCATTCTCCGTACCTTGTTCGTGCCAAGCTTATATGATATGACGTGTCTGCAAGTGAGAACAAGTTGAACCATATGAGATAATACATAGTGTCATCCAGCGAAGATGCTTTATTCATTGTCTGCCTAGGTAGAGACATAGGGATGGGATTGGAGACAGCGAGATTTGGTTCAAATCCTGGCTCTATTGCTGACTGGCAGTATGATTTGGGGTGAGGTACTAATCCTCTTCAAGCCTCCAGAAAGGCTGCCTTGCCTATCTTCCTCACACCCTAGAGTTACTCCAGCATCTCACTGGCTGGTCCCATGAATGGCAGGACACAGGATGGAGGATCTGGCCCCCTCAACCTCTGTGTTGGGTCCTCTTGGCCATTCCCCTGGAAATACCCTTTGGGGTTCCCCAGTGCTGTAGCTCATTCTGATCTCCAGCTCCTCACAGTAACCTAATTGTCTTTTGCTCTCAGAAGCAGCTTTTGTGTGGACTCGGGGTTGGCAGAGGTGGGCAGCTAGCAGGCTGAGCATCATCCCCAATCTTATATTCCAGAGCCATTTGGGAGAAGATCTCGAGCTGTTGAAACGAAGAAAACACTGCAGGAGATGGAGACCAAATTCCTGCTCTTTGAAGACGAAACTAATCAGGGCTGTCGGATTCGGCCCAATCGTCCAGACACGCTGCAAGAGTGCGGCTTCAACTCCTCCCTGCCTCTGGTGCTGATCATCCACGGGTGGTCGGTAGGAATGCTGACAGGCTTTTCTTCTCTTGTCTTCACCTTTTCCTTTCTCTTCCTAGTGCATTCGGTTTTACTACAAAGCCAGGGAGCTGGTGATCACAACTTCATGCCTAATATTTGTAAAGCCTGTTCTCATGTTCCAGGTGCTTCCCCACACGTTAGCTCATTGATTATCTCAATCCCAGGGCAGGGCAAATGTCATCTCCATGTTTCAGATAAAAGTGGCTCAAAAGGGTCACGCAGCTCATTAGAGCCCATATGGGATTGCAGTCCACACAGCAGGAAGCCTCCTGCCTGGATCTGCATGATTCCCAAGAGGAGGTGAGAAGCCAGAAGACATGGGCTCCCAGTGGAAGATCATAACAGTAAGATTTAACAAACAGCAGAGGCTCAAATGAGTAGTGGTTCAAATAAAATAGAAGTTTGTTTTTATTCCTTAGCAGTTCAGAGATGTATAACCCCAAAACTGGCTAGACAACTTTGCTCAATGCAGTCCTCAAGGCTTCAGCCTCTTCCAGCTCACTGGTCTGCCATCTTTGGGGGTGACCCTCATCCTCACAGTCCAAGATGGCAGCCAGAGCACTAGCTATCACATCTTTATTTCAGGCAGCACAATGTAGTAAGAAACATATACAAAGGCAGCATACAAAGTGGTCAAAAAAGCAAGTTTTCAAAAATAACTTTATAAAATAATATATAATTCACATAGCATACAACCCATCCATTAAGAGTGCAGAGTTCAATGGCTTTTGGCATAAAAGCATGTTTTCAGGCCTCCCAGAGCATCAGTGAAATTCTTCTGATGATTTCCATTGGCCATAGTTAGGAGGAAAGGTGACTGAGAAGTTTAACCTCAAAAAGAAAATGTAGCCTTTTGGGACTCTAAATGTTCTATTGCTATGGAAGAAGGTCAGAAAGGACACTGCGGACAATGAGTCACGTCAAACCATGTGAGGACTTGTCTCCAAGAGGAAATCCTGCCTCTCCAGTCCCCAGCCCACCCAAATTGTGAAGTTTAGTTCACAATTTGAGCCCTCCAGAGATGTGGTTGTCCATTTCATGACCTAGGAACCTTTCCCTGCCAACTGGTTGAAAAGTACTCTGTCCTACCCTAGAGAGCACAATGGGCCCATCCGTCCACTTTCCTCCTCTTCACCTCTCCCTATCTCCCATAGCAACTTCCAGCAAAGCTGTCTGCTCAGAGCTCCCTCCAGGGTAATGTCTCTCCTCATGGACTTGGCTTGGGCTGTGCCCTTGGCCTAGAGTGTCCTTTCTCCTCCTCTTCTCACAATGAACTCCCACTTTTACTGTAGGACACAGTCCCAAACTGGTCCTCCTGCAAGCCTCCACTGCCTCCATTCCAGGCCTTCCCCAGGGCATTCAGTGTCCCAGGCATTCCCATGCCACCCCAAGCCCCCCTATCATGGCTGTGCTGCTCAGCTCTGTCACTGTCTGTATTTGTCTCTCTGCTAGGCTGTGAGCTCCTTACTGGAAAGGATTCTGCCCTATTCTTATCTAACTGACCACTGTGGGACAGTATCCACTATATATGTTCATTAACCGAATGCATGATCAAATGAATGAGTCCTATTTAAAAATGCAACATGAGCCGGGCTCGGTGGCTCAGCCTGTAATCCCAGCGCTTTGGGAGGCCGAGGTGAGTGAATTGCCTGAGCCCATGGGTTCGAGACCTGCCTGGGCAACTTGGTGAGACCTCATCTCTACAATAAGTAAAAAATTAGCCAGGCATGGTAGCGTGCCTGTAGTTTCAGCTACATGGAAGGCTGAGGCGGAAGGATCGCCGGAGCCCAGCAGGTTGAGGCTGCGGTGGCCGGGAGCGGCCACTGCACGCCGGTCTGGGTGACAGAGTGAGACTCCAACTCAAAATAAATAAATTAATTAATTAAATTAAATAAAAAATAAAAATGCAACATGAAGCTTACAGGGTCCTCTTACCAGGATCCTTTTTACCAAAATGCACTCTTCATTATCAAAATTCTGTCCAGCCTTGAATATGTCTACTACTACTAATAATAATAATAATAGGCCGGATTCGGTGACTTAGCCTATAATCCCAGCACTCTGGGAGAATGAGGCAAATGGATTGCCTAAGCCTGTGGGTTCAAGGCCAGCCCGGGCAACTTGGCGAGACCTCGTCTCTACAACAAATAAAAAATTAGCCAGGAGTGGTAGTGCATCCCTGTAGTTCCAGCTACTTGGAAGGCTGAGGTGGAAGGATTGCCGGAGCCCAGCAGGTTGACACTGGAGTGGCCGTGAGTGTGCCACTGCACTCCAGCCTGGGCAATGAAGTAAGACTCCAACTCAAAATAATAATAATAATAACAACAAGGCCAGGCATGGTGGCTCATATCTGTAATTCCAGCACATTGGGAAGTCAAGGCAAGAGGATCACTTGAGACCAACATCTCTACAAAAAAAAAAAAAATCAGAACATTAGCCGGACATGATATATAGCTAACCTATAGTCTCAGCTAGTCAGGAGTCTGAAGTGGAAGGATCACCTGAGTCCTGGAGGTCGAGACTGTGGTGACCCCTGATTGTACCAGTGCACTCCAGCCTGGACGATAAGAGTGAGACCCTTACTCAAACAACAGCAACAGCTACAATAACTAACATTTACTATGTTCCCAGCACTGTTCTAAATGCTTTACATCTATTAACTTATTTCATCTTCACAACGATCCTTGAAGGAGGGCATAATTAAGATGAGAAAACGGAGGCACAGAGAAGTCAAATAATTTCTCCAAGATCATTCAGCTCGTAGCTGGGGGACCCTGAATTTGAACCCAAAAGGCTACATGCACACAGATGGCCCCTGGTAAACATTTATTAAATGAAAGCATCTTACCTTGGAATAACATGCCAGACCCCAGTGGAGCCCTCCCTCTTCGCCCCCTGAGGTCTAGCCTTTAGCCCACCCAACCTTCCTCCTCTCCCCAGACACACCACGCTGCTCTCTCATGATTCTGTGCCTCTGCACGTGCTGGTCTTCCTGCCTGGACCTCAACACAGCCACATTCGCCTGCCTACCCTCTTCCTTTTTACTGAACTCCTATGGATCCTTTAAGATAGAGCACCAGTGTCTGCTCTGCAGACCCCTTGGAGTGCCCTACAAACCAGGTGCACACACAGGACAATTCCCCACAGATGCTTCTTCGGCTCCTACTCTGTTCAGGCTTGCAGTGCTAGTCCCACCAAAGCCAGGAGAATGCAGTAGGCAAGGGCAGATTGAATGCTGGGGTTCCGAGATGTGGCAGAGTGGCCTTGAAGGAGGTAGCGAGCAGAGGATAGGGATAAGGCAGCTTCCAGTACCTGGTCTACACAGACATCTCCATGGCTTTAAGCCTTACAAAGATAGTTCCAAAGTAGGGAAAAAGTAAGACAATGGTTCTCAGGTGAGGACATTTGGCAAAGTCTGGAAATCTTTTTTTTTTTCTTTTGACCTGGGGTCTCACTCTGTTGCCCAGCCTGGAGTGCAGTGGCTTGATCACAGCTCACTGTAGCCTCAACCTCTTGGGGGCTCAGGTAATCCTTCCACCTCAGCCTCCATCTAAGTAGCTGAAACTACAAGCACAAATCACCACACCTGGCTAATTTTTTGATTTTTTGTAGAAACGGAGACAGGCTATGCTGCCCAAACTGGTCTCAGGCTCCTGGGCTCTAGCAATCCTCCTGCCTTGGCCTCCCAGAGGGCTGGGATTATAGGCATGAGCCACTGCACCTGGCCCATTTTGGTTTGTGATTCCTGGGGTAGAGGGGTGCAACTGCTGGTGTCTAGTTGATGAGCCATCGTACAAAGCACAGAACAGCCTCCCATGACAAAGAAATATTGGTCCAAAATGTCACTAGTGTGAGGCTGAGAAACCTGGTGGCAAGCCCTCTCTCGGGGAGAAGGATCCAGCATTATCCAAGAATCGCAGAAGGAAGAGGCATGAGTGCCGAGCAAGGAAGCCTGTGCAGTCCTGCCTCTGTCCCCTCCTTAGGTGGACGGCTTGCTGGAAAACTGGATCTGGCAGCTGGTGACTGCACTGAAGTCTCGGCCGGCCCAACCAGTGAACGTGGGGCTGGTGGACTGGATCGCCCGGGCCCATCACCATTACACCATTGCCGTCCGCAACACCCGCCTTGTGGGCCAGGAGGTCGCAGCTCTTCTCCGGTGGCTGCAGGTAAGCTCTGCCCCATCCTCCCAAGCCCTGCCCTCCTTCCCACCATCTAAGAGGGACTGAAATAAGCTGGCCTCCAGCAGCAAGGGACCAGGCAGGGGAGCTGCTGATGCTAGGCGTACAGGTGTAGGCCTGTAGGAGACTGAAACCAGACCCCAGGGCACTCTCAGATGCCTCTCTGGTACCCCTCTTTTGTAGAACTGTTTTCTCCCCTCTCCCCATCCACTCTTCCTCCTACACCCACCTCCTTTGACATCCTAAGGGCACCCAAACACACCCTGTAGCCATCAGCCCCCACACAGAGGGATGGCCTCACTTCTTTTTTCCTTTATTTATTTATTTATTATTTTATTTTCAAGATGTGGGGTACAATTCAGGGTTAGGTACACAAGTGGGGCCTCACTTCTTAGGGTATGAGTATCCCAGGAAGACAGGCAGGCAGAAGGCAGCAGCCACCAGGCAGGGTCCCAGGTGGCAGAGCCCAAAAAGGAGGGTCAGCCAGGTGAGAAACTGGATTCAATTCGGGGTGTGAATAAAGCACCTCACTTGCAAACAAGCACAAAGGACAGAGTGAGCATCAGGGCACGCTGCACCCACAAAAGGCTTCGCCCAGGCAGTTCTCCTCCTCTTGCCCCCAACCCACTGCTGTCTTCCAGGACTCTGTCCACTTCTCTCCAAGCAAGGTCCACCTAATTGGGTACAGCCTAGGTGCACACGTCTCGGGATTTGCTGGCAGTTCCATGGGCCGAACGCACAAGATTGGGAGAATTACAGGTAACCATGCCTAATAACTTACAAACTCATCTCCTCCCTCACACGAGGACTTGTTTTCCCAACAAGCACATCAGTGATGACCCTTTTCGTGATGGATCAGAGTTAACGACAGGCCTTGTCGCATTCTTGTAGCATTCTCACCAACATGACCAAAGTCACAGATTGCTGCTTCAGAGTTCAGAGCAAATTCCAGCCTCAGTTCCCACTGCCTCTCAAACGAATGTCTCTTGTAGATGTGCCAAATGGGCCTAAAAAGTGGGCCTTCTGTACATTTTTGCAGCAAGAAAGAAATGTATTTTTGAACCTGTAGCCTTACAAAGTCCAATGTGGGTCAGTTAGGAGGGAAGAATCACAGCCTTAATTTGCTGTAACCCATCAGACATGTTGGTGCCTCAGTATCCACATTTGCAAAGCATGAGCATTTTACTCTGGGACGCATTTGGATTGAGGGATGGAGTTCTGCAAAGAAACTTCACCCCAAACTCCACACTCACTCAGAAATGGCCCAAAAAGGGCTGGACTCATGCATGAAGGCCCATCCTCCCAGGTGTCCTTGACGCCAACCCCACATCCCATACTGCCCAAAATTAGGATCCAAAAAACACTCAGCTGGTTAGGTTGCCTCACAGTTGAAGAGCCTGAGGCCCACTGATACCTAGAGGAATAAAACCCAAGAGGCACAGGCAAGCCCCCCCCGCCCCAGTGTGGTATCCCCAGAGCTCCCCAACTTCTCCTCTTGCCAGTTTCTTCCTGTAGTTCTTGGCTGCAGCACACTAGTATTTTCTCCCCTTGGCAAACATACCATGGCCCCTTGTGCCTCTGGGCTTTTGCATGAGCTGTTGCCTTTGCCCACCACTCACCCACCCTGTCCTATCCTATCAAGCTCTTACTCATCCTTCAATACCCAACAGGCTCAAACAATATTTCACAGGCTAAAACAAAGAACATCTTAGAAGAATAACAGAGTTGTTGTGATTTTACATTTTATCAATTAAGAACAGTTTTAAAAACAACTACTATCTACTATATCTTTCATAAAAGAGGAGATTTATTTGAACATGAAAAAGAATAGGGATAATGGCAGACATTTTAAACTAAATAAATTTGTAATTATGAAAACTCGTCTCTTCATCCCTTTTCTTCCCCCTTCATCTTGCTGGTGACTGGGGAAGCCCACTCTACACACCAGCATTTGGCCTCCACTGATTTAACCCTCAGTAGTCTGGTGGTGAGCAGACCTCCCACTGAGAAAGCGGATAAGGAATCTGTCAGAATCACAGTGAGGGTCCCCTGAGGTCCTGCATCTCACCACAGTGAGGGTCCCCTGTGGTGCTGTGGGTCACATCAGGCACTATAAGCTGGGCCCACCCATCTCAGGCAACAGAAAGGCTCGTTACCCTGTTGTTAGTCTGCTGTCAGCCTGATGAGGAAAGGAATATAAATCACACCAGGACGTTTTAAATTTGTAACTGTGGGTGGGGCTGGAGAACAGGCGATCTCTCTCATAGCCCAATTTATTCACTCCCAGTAGGGGAGGAAGTCAGGGTTGAATGGGACACCAGAGGGTCCCTGAGATGGTGAAGGAAGAAAGACAGGGAAGGGAGTTAGAATGCATAAATACTCCCGACTCCCACCAGCCTGGAGCTGCCACTTTGTTTCATGCAAACACATCTGCTTGAAGACCAGAGCTCTGAGCAGCCCTGTTTGCTCACAGCATTTTTACCCGGGTACAGCAATATCCCAAGGCTGTTCTGGACACTCCAATAAAATGGCATTTGTGTAGGAGACAAGTCTGTTTAGGAAAATTATCGACAACATGCAGGCAAATGAATTATTTCTTTGATGAGTAGGTTGGAACTACTTATAATGAACACATTGGCGCTTTTTTAATGCAAACAGATGGTCTTGAAAGTAGCTGGAAGAAGTACTTAACATTGATTTGCTTAATAAATCAAGCCTTCTCTCACAACCTTATTCTACCACTGGATAGTTTCTGTAAATCTCTTTCCCTGCTAGATAATGCCCGGCTTGTGTCTGATTCTTAGCACCTCAAGTTACTGTGGTTTAACTGAGAAAAGGTTATGGCAAGGTTTTCTATAGAGAGATTATGCCCTTGGTTTTTCTTCTTCCTGCTAACTCATTAATGTGTAATGATATCAAAAATCTAAAGAGCATGTGTCTCCTCCCCTCTCCTTGCTCCCACCTAACCCTGCTTGCTTCCCAATTAGGGCTGGACGCTGCAGGCCCTTTGTTTGAGGGAGCATCCGCCAGAGACCGGCTTTCTCCAGATGACGCCATCTTTGTGGATGCCATTCACACTTTCACCAGAGAGCACATGGGCCTGAGCGTGGGTATCAAACAGCCCATAGCGCACTATGACTTCTACCCCAATGGGGGCTCTTTCCAGCCTGGCTGCCACTTTCTGGAGCTCTACAGACATATTGCCCAGCATGGCTTCAACGGTGAGGAGGAAGTCATGGGCCGAAAGCTACCACCTATACTTCCAAAGGCCTCTGCAATCCAGTGGAATCTACCCACTGTGTGGGACTCAGGGAATGGTCTGGCAAGGTAGAGGCTAGGGGTGTATGGTCAACGCACCCACTCAGAAGGAGAGCGTATGGGAGTGGGCAAGGGTAATGGGCCCCCAGTGGCCGCTCCCTGTAACAGGCCAAGGAGGAGCCCTGAGAACGAGCAGAGGGGTGCCAGCAAAAATCCAGGTTTCTTACGACACTCAGTGTGCTCCAGCAAAGCCTGTCCACGGGCACTAACCCCGCTGAGAACTGAGTCCCAATTCCCGTGGTTAGCCCTCCCTCTCCAGAAGTTTCCTCACTCAGGGGGCATCCCCTATTCTGAGCCGCATGAGGACACACTCAATAGGTCATGGACCCTCGGCTCTCAGTCTCACTTTCACCCCACTCCCGGAAGATTTAACTAGAGGATGCTACAGGACCTTACTGAGATTCTTCCAGTGAGAAACACAGCTTCAAATATGTCCTTGTCACGTCCTTTCCCTCAGGGCAGAAACCGAATGTGGCATTATCTGGGTTGTGATCCCACTTCTCTCTCAAATCCTAAAGCTGAAACATTAACATGCACGTTGATAACATGCACAGGATTAAAGAACAAAAATGTCAGCAGAAACTGCACATTCTGCAGGCATTCCACACTTCTTGCTATAATAAAATATCATCCTGATTAAAATATGCCAATCACTCTTAGCCGACTGGAGACCCCCACTCCCTTGCAGGCCACCTTTCCCAGATCACGCAACACTGAGCTGAGAATACGCTCTGTCGTGATGACATCGCCACCCTCACCTCCCCAGCATCAGAATGACCTTCACACTCCACATCATCTCATTCTGGCTGGACTCCCAGCCTTCCGCCCGCCCACGCCTGAGAGTCTTCTGGGAACATACCCGTGTCACCGCCCCTCCAGTCACCAGCAGTTCCCAGCTGACCATCCCGCCCTCTTCCCGATCATCACCCTCACAAGCTCCCCACAGACCACTTGGGACAGTGTTTGGGCACCATTTGCCTGGTAGACATGACCTTGACCAATCACTGCCATTTGCTCTTCTGTGCCGACCTTCAAAGTGATGGAACGAAGTATACGTATTCAGCCTGCCCAGCCTTAGGGTGGTTTTTTTCTCAACTTTCTTCACCCCCTATGTTTGAAAGTGTTCCTATTCTGGGGTAGCTCTCCTAACCTGAACAGGAGATCACTCGATAACTGTCTTCCCCATCACCACATCCTGGCTTCGTGCACTTGAGTGAGTGAATGATGTCTTGGAAGTTCAGCTTTCTCATGGATCACAACTGCTCAAGGAACTGTGGTAAAGATTTGGGCAGTACACAAGTAGAAGGCATTCAACACACAACCCTCCTCCCGGGGGGTGGGGCACTCAATCAGTGCAGCCACTAGTCACCAAGCACTGCCATGACTAAACCGAACATTCAGCTTCCAGACACTTGGGGAGGTTGCTTTTGGCAAAGTTACCCGAGTTCTCCCTTTATAGCAGGTGCTTCACATGTCTTGTGGTGGTTGCTCAGCATAGATAGGTTAAAATTGGGAGAGTTAGAATTGGGCGTAGTGGCTCACATCTGTAATCCCTGCACTTTGGAAGGCTGAGACAGGAGGATTGCCTGAGTCCAGAAGTTTGAGACCAGCCTGGACAACATAGCAAAACCACATCTTTACCAAAAAAAATAAAGATTAGCCAGGCATGGTGATATATATCTGTAGTCCCAGCTACTCGGGAGACTGAGGTGGAAGACTTGCCTGAGCCCAGAAAATCGAGGCCGTGGTGAGCAGTGATTGTGCTACTGCACGCCAGCCTGGGTGACAGAGTAGGACTCAGTAAATAAATGAGTAAATAAATGAAAGATTTGGAGGTTAAAAAAAGAGATAAAATCCAAGGTAAATCAACCTTACAAGCTTTTGTTGGGGGGAGGGGAGTTCAAGCCTCTTTAGACCTGGTTGCTGGGGAATGTCATTCCAAATCTATTCCCCATGCTGGTTTTGCTGTCCTGGTACCTAAGGGAGGCAGTGGCTGCTTTGGTACATAAAGTGTTTCAGGAGAGGCCTCAGCTGATACAAGAATGCCTCATGCATCTAGCTTTACTAAGGAAAGAGACATCCCACACAAGCCTGTTCCAGAAAGCTCCCCCTCCAGGCATCAGCACTCAAGTACTTTTAACCATTTGAGAGAAATAGTTTTACAACAGATTACACTAAACTGCTTCATGAAGTAACTTGATCTTTTCTTATGTCTTGGGTGCCTACTGAACACCTACTGGAACATGCCATAATACAGGAGTGCCCTCAGGAGCCCGGCAATGCCTTGGATTTTTCCCCACCACTATATGACCCAGAGAGTCTACTTTCTTTAGTTTTCGGTCAGCTGTTCATCCCACTGGTGTCGGTGGGCTAACCTCAGCAGTCCCACCCCTGCCTCCCAATGCACTACAGCTAATCTGCTGTGGGCTGAGGACCAGGGTGGTCCTCTGAGTTGAGGCCATCTTGGGTGAAGGTGATAACGTCCTTCTTGCCCTGCGTTGCAGCCATCACCCAGACCATAAAATGCGCCCATGAGCGGTCAGTGCACCTCTTCATCGACTCCTTGCTGTACCCGGGTATGCAGAGCATGGCCTACCAGTGCAGCAACATGGGCAGCTTCAGCCAGGGCCTGTGCCTGAGTTGCAAGAAGGGCCGCTGCAACACACTGGGCTACCACGTCCGCCAGCAGCCGCAGAGCAAGAGCAAGCAGCTCTTCCTCGTGACACGAGCGCAGTCCCCCTTCAAAGGTGAGTGCTGGCTGGCCTGGGGCCTTCAGAAGGGCACAATGCGATCTGTTAAGTGTTTCTGAAACTGCACAGGCTCCAGACAGTGATGTCGACATAGCGTTTCTCCCTGCCCAAGAATGTGGCCACCTTGCCACCAAGGGCTAGGAAGAGAAACCCTGATAATTTCTTAAACAATCCTTGGGTTGGCCTCTCTTGATCCATTTTATGGTTGCCTAGAATATTCTATCCAGACGGCCCCAAGCGGTTACCTGGACCACCCAGATTTCATTGTACGAGGACCTAGAAGAGTCTCTAAACCCATTCTAGAACCCAGTTTTTTCAACTTGTTACAGTCCCCATGGGAAAAAATGGGTTCTAGAGTGCGTTTGGTTTCCTCTAAGGTTTGAATCAGCTGATCTCACAGGACGTTATTGTCTCACTGAGGCCTCCCAAGATGAGAATCAGATTCCAGTGCTTCCAGTGCCCAAGATGAGAATCAGCTTCCAGTGCCCTGAGGTTAAAAATCTTTAACTTCAGGGCAGAAAGTGAGTCCCTGTCACTCCCTGTGTTGAACAGGAGGTTGGAGAAAGGGCTTCAGAGAAATACTCCACTGAAACCTAAATCCTCCTGGAGAGAGCAAACCGACATCTGTTGCCACTCATATTTCTGCCTAACCCTTAAGACAGCTCAGGAATGATTTAGCATCTTACTGTTTCACCTCACACTCTCTCCGGCGCTGGGAGAGGAATCTGATGTTGTGCTATTGGATTATTACCATGAGGACATTTGTTATCTGGAGAATGCAAGCAGGCCACCGCCACCACTTGGCTTTTGAGAGCTGTTTATACAAAACATTCGATGCAGCCCTCTACATCCTGTGGTTCCCACAACAGTCGGGTGAGGTCAGCAGGGCTGGTTATTATCCCGTTTTAAAGGGGTGGAGGCCACAAGGTAGGACATCCATGCAGCTGTAGGAGGTCTGGATAGGGCCACCTGACTCCCAGGCACAAGTTCAAGCTTGCTGGAGGCTTATTATTATTTTTTTTTAGGCACAGGATTCCTCTGTTTACCTGAACTTTCGCTCTCCAGACAGGTCTCCCTTCCGTGGGCCAAGCAGGTCCAAGATTGACAGACATTTGTTGTGAGTGGCAGATAACATCTGAAGAGTAGGTGTAATAACGTTATCTTTCAGGCCAAAGGGTCCCCTCTGCTGTCTGTCCCACAGGGTTGAAGGAGACAGGGGCTCACAGGTGAGGGAATTTGAAAGGCCTCCCCACCATGGAGATGGCTCCCCTGCTGCAGGCTGCCAATTAGAGACCCATTTGGGTTAACCAGCTCCTTTTGAATGGCAAAGCCACCCAGAGTGATTAAGTCTCTTAGATAATTAGGTTTCTACTGGATCTATTTAAATCATGGAACGTTAGCATGGCAAGGAACTGTTCAACTCTGCCATTTTACAGAGGGTGAAACCAAGGCCTACGCAGGGAAAATCATCTGCCCGGGGGCACAGAGTGAATTCTTGGAAGGCCTAGTGCCTCTTAGCAATGAGTTGAGTGATTTCTACCCATAACCAGCCCCTGGGTTGGGCAAGGTAGTGGAGACAGGGAGGAGGGGATTGTTTTCTCTTCGAGATACCTGGGAAGAAAAGAGATCATTTTTCACCTTCCAGGGCTGACCTGGGAACTTCATCTGACTCAGGGGCTTGGTCCAGCCTGAGGACATCTACTGAGGGCTTGGAGATAGGGTAAGAAGGCAAGTGTCAAGAGAAGGAAGGGGGGAAGTGAGAGCAGTGGGCATGAGCCAGGTTGAGGACCTCCCATTTGCCAGCAAACCTCCCGTTTGCCAGCAACCATGCACTGCTAGGGCAAGCTCACAAGGATCCCTTCCTTATTAAGGAAGCCCACAGAATCACATCAGGGCAGCACTATCTCCCACGATGGCTACCATAATCAACATGCTCATTCATTCATTCACTCTTCAAGCGGACTCCTACCCTCAGGGGACTTGACGGAGACCAATTCGCAATGAGCCCCTTAGAGACAACATTTTTATCTCTTTATTACCAACTACTTATCTTGTCCCAAGGACATCCAGTGAAGACGGTTCCTACTGGGCCAGTGAGGTGGAGACCACAAGGCAGGACTGCCAGGACTAGCCAGGAACCTTAACCCCCAGCTCTGACGGAGGATCCAGTGCTGAGCTGTGGCCTGCACCACACCCTCCCACCCTCTCCTCTCTGTCCCTCGGCCCCCAGTTTCTCCTCAGTTCTACTTCAGCCCTTCCAGTGAGCAAAGTTTTAACCTCCTCAACCTGGTTTCACTTGCTAGTGGGGAGTGGCATCTCTGCAGTTACATCAAGGTGCCCTGGGCATAGCTGAAAATTATACCCTTGTGAGACTCGCCTGTTGGAGGCGGCTGCTCATGGGATGCTGCAATCTGTACAATGCTATGTCATCTAATATAGTAGCCACAAACCATATGTAGCTATTTAAATCCAAATCTAAATTACTTCAAGTAAAACCAAAAATTCCATTTCGCAGTCACACGTGCCATTTCTCAAGTGCTCAGATACATGGCTGCAGATCAGAGGACACAGAAATAAAATATCCTCGTCACAGCAGGGAGTCCTATTGATGGTGCTGGGGTGAAGCCTTCAATCTAGGCCACCACAACCACATCGTTCCCACCCACCATGGCTGCAGTCATCTCTGACACAGCCCACAAAGTCTCTGTCCCCGACCACCTCCAGCATGTTTATGAATACGTAGAGACTCTTAAAAGAGCAGACTTGCCCAACCCTGGCCTACAGAGAAACCATAATCCATATTTTTCAGAAACATCTCATTGTACTATATATTTTAGTGCAGGGTCTGGTTGGGCAAGATAAACATCGCCTCCTGATTGTAGTTTCACAAAGGCTGACTAACTTGGCCCACATTCCTCTGGCTCCCAAGATATTTCGACAAAACCATCAAAGGATCTATTTTCTACACCCGCATGCCAAAACCCGGGTAAACACTCTGAGAGTGCAGCAGTAGCAGGAGAGAATTGGGAAACAGTCGCTGAGTGAAACGAGGCAATTTATCGCCCACTTCCATTCTCACTCTCTCACGAGGAACCTTTACCAGTTGGGGAGACTGTTTTTAAGGGAGGGAGAAGGAAACTCATCTGTACTGAGTAAATCCTGTTTAGCAGGTACCTCATCTAATTTAATCCTCAGAGCAGCTGGATGAGGTAACTGTGTGGAGGGGAGGGAAGTGGCACTTGGGGGCACTCTACCCAGGCACCATGCAGGGTGTGTTGCGCAAATTAGCTCATTTATCCGTGGATCCTCACAGCAACCCAAAGACAGAGAGACACACGGAGAGAGACAGAGAGAGACGAGAGGGAGGAGAGAGAGACAGATAGAGAGAGAGAGAGAGAGATGCGAGAATTTATTATGCTTAATTATCGATAGAGATTCAGAGGTTAAATCATCTTCCCAAGGTCACTCAGTTTGTGAGTATCAAGCACAGCACTGAATCCCAGATGGCTTGGACTCCACGACCTCTGTTCCTCAGTGCAGAACAAGCCCCATTCACTGAGTGCCTCTCACTCCAGGGTCATTCCAGCTGTGTGTCCTGCCCTCCTCCTCTCCCCACCTCTCCAAACTGCTCCTTCTGACTCCCCTCTGTGTTCCGGCTCTCCTCTGGCCTGCACTCTGGGCTCCTGCTCCAGCTGCCAGGAGTACTCCTTCCTGCTAGCTGGTGAGATGACTGGCCAAGCCATGACTCGGGAATCTGTCTGACTTGGCTTTTCTCAACTACTTTTTGGAAGGTTTTCACTGCCTTCCAGGGAGAGTTCCAGAGGAAACAGTGGGCGTAATAGACAGAGCAGGCTTGGGATTAGGATAAGGAGTGTTGAGGATCTTGGCTTTGTTGCCAACCACTTACATGACCTTGACCTAATGACAAAACCTATGTAGGCCTCAGTGTTATCAGCCACCAGGTAAAGGGCACAAACAAACATGGGGATGAACCATTAAGATGGAACCTTCAGGTGGGTCTCAAAGCCCTTCCTGGTCAGTGCAGCATGGAAGGGCATGGGCAACACCAGGTTAACAGCTCCTGGAAGCCAGGCACTTCTCCTTTGTCATCTCATTCCATCCTCACGACACTGTTAGAGAGATTTTAAACCCCTTTCACACATGAGGAAACAGCTCCAGAGAGGTTGTGTGTGTTCAAGACCAGGAGGCAGCAGGAGGCAGAGAGGACTCGAACCCCAGGCTCTGTCTTTCAGTTGAGGACCCTTATTACACTCACAGTATGAAGAGATGACATTGGAATGTTAGTCAGCACAACACTCGCTAACACACACACACACACACACACACACACACACACACACACACACACACACACACTCCCCCATCTCCACATCAAGCAGGCAACAACACTACCCAGAAGCAGCAAGCATCCAACCTCATGACATCTTGCCCATGGGGCTATACTGTTAAATCCAAATGGCCACCCAGATAAATACATGCGCACGCATCCAGGTGCTGACAAGATCATGTGACCCTTTCCTCCTTCACTTGATCCTGCTCTGAGTTCACTCATTCAGCCCCGGCCAGTGCCAGCCGCCTTGTGCAGTAATGCCAAGGCCAGCACCAGCCTTGGGTCCCTAGACCCCTCTTCATGATCTTCAGCTTCCCTCTCAGGGTAGAGGCATTTCCAGTGTAGGAGCAAGCCCTCGGTGCTTCAAGAAAACACAAGAGATCTCATTCCCACCATCTCCACAAGAGAAAACCCATACACTGAGGAAAAAAACAACAAAGCCCTCTTTGATGTTTGCAAAGAGAGTCATAATATCTCTCAGAGCCAATATCTAAGGTTTCAGAATCATTGTTTCTGTATGACAAAAAAAAAAAAAGAAAGAATATTCTCTTTCCATAAACATAACCTGGTTCACATAGTAGCCGTCCTGTGAAAATAAATCTGAGTTTTTCTTTCTTAAATGGCACTGGCAGGGTCCACACAGGAG